GCTTCAACCAGATGCGTAATGGTGTGTACCAGCTTGAAATGTACCGTGCTCGAAGTCATATCCAGCTTCCTGGACCGGAATATGTCTTGAGAAGCTCACAGTCGCTTTGCCACCTTTTACGTGAACCGAAGATCCATTACCGGCTCAGTTTGATTTATTTTCCACATCGTCACATCCTATTTATGTACGGTCTTTTGACCCTTTGAAGCCGAGGTTCGTCTAAATATTATTTAATAAATCAGTCCGTACCGCGAAGTAAACACAACTCTTCACCATTAGAAAGATCAACTGTTTAACGCTGTTTAAGGAAATAATCGCTGTTTACACTGAGAATCATAGTTCGTCTGATTAATTTTTAAGAATTCAGTCCGTACCGCGAAGTAAACACAACTCTTCACCATTACAAAGATCGACTTGTTAACGCTGTTTAAGGAAATAATCGCTGTTTACGTTGAGAATCATACGAAACACATAAATATAAAACGTAGAGTTATTAACTGTGTGAAGCAGGTGGTACATATAGTTACCACTGGGTCTTAAAGGGTTAACCCCCCCCCCCCTCCATATGCACTGGTCGTCTCCTGCATCCGCGTGTCTGCCATTGAGACGCCTCTCAAAAAAAAACTGCTTGAATTTCGCTTGATTGATGGTTTCACGTGGCCCGTGACTTTTGCAGGACGTAACGTAGGAAAAGGTGCGTGACCATTGGCTAGGACAATTTCAGACTCTACTTTAAGCGGCTGTATTTATTTTATGTCTGCAAAATGATATCGTAGCTGAAAGTTATATGCAAACTGTGTTCACAGAATACGCAACGCAGTGTTTGAAGCCTCGTACTGTATTCACGCTATAAATAAATGTAGTGACTGGTTCTTACGCTCAATTTACAGTCTCCCGTCCGATAACTCGTAAATCGGTAGACGGTTTTACCAGCCTTCACTAAACGTGCCTCTGAATGTACGAGGTTGCCTGCGATAAGATTCAGCGTTGGCCTCGGATGCCTCTGTATTTGCGTCTTTGTGATGTTTTCATGTACGTACATGTCGATTCTTCAAGTCCTTTAACATGCTTTGTCAGTTGTAGTTCATTTTGTATGAAATATAAAAGGATTCAGGCCATTTTGATGTAAATGATGGCGTACCAGTTACCTGGAAATAGCCGTGTGTTACCATTATTTACCAAACAATAACACATCTCCCTGACATGTGGTTTTGAAAAGTCTGGTTCATTGTACCTCGCAGTTTTTATTGAGAAAGTGTTCGCCCACTGTTTGTCACGTTTTCCAGTGCGCGTCGGATCGATGCTAATGTTCTTGACGACGAACACAAATTTTCTGTTTCTGTGCTGCTCATTTGGCCAATACGCAGTGAAAGAGAATTCCTCTCTTGTTTTACTGAAAACAGGATTGCCCTGCGTGCGGATATCTGCATGAAAACAATGCAGCGCTGTTGTTTATACGTTCCCTTGAGACGTGAGTACGAAATGGAAAACAGAATGTTCAAATGCGCCTACTTATTTCAACGTGCTGTTTCGTCCATTCTGAAATCTGCAAGAAGGAATCTGTCGGCCAATAAAATATTAATATAAGTTATCCTGAATGTAGTGTGTATGAATTTTCATCTGCACACCTTGCAGAACAGATGAGATCGTAGACTTCTTGTGGGTTAATGGAAGTAACTGCTCAACTCTTTCTTACTTTTATCCGCTTTACGTATTATGTGACTTCATGCAAGGGGTTACCAGTTCAGATAAAAATATTCTCAACATTTAACTGTTATAGAAGACGTACTAATATTAGATTTCAGTGCCCAGTATCCAAGAAAGAATTGATACATTGGAAAATTGTTATGAGAATTAGTAAAAGCTGCAGGACTGCGGTTTGTAGCACGTGAGAGAGAAACCCAGAAAGTTCCATTGATGGATCTAAATTGAGCAACGTGACTGGCAGGTGGTAGCTCAGTAATGGCTGCGTGGTGCCCTCAGTGGTAGAAACAAGAGGGGTATCTGAGGCCAGATGTTACGTCGCGTGGAATCGTTTGTACCAACGAGTTGCGTATGCCCAGAGAAATTCAGAACGACGTATGGCGAAACCCCTCATCGTAAATTTATTCTGCGATTTGTTGGAACAGTTCAAATCAACTGACAGCGTGAGGAAAGGGAAGAGTCCGGGCCTCCATCGCCGTCACCGGGTAAAGTGTAAGCCTTGGAGCCTCAGAGACCTGGTTTGAGGCGTCTGACATTTCGTGCGTACAGAATTAATGTCTGCAACAACTTGAAGGGAAGATAAGTGTGTTCTGTTCTCTCACGTTGCGTAATATGGACGAGGAATGTAATTACAGGACAAAGATTGCCCTAGTGAAGCAACACTCCGCCCTAGTGGGAAGTTAAACAGGCACAATTGCCTGATTCCCCGCGTTGTTGGGGAACGTATATCCCGCGTGTCGAAGTACGCCACTAGGTCATCGGACCACACCATAGCCAGCACCGGTGGTTGCCTTGATGTGCGTAGTCGCACAGATTAAGGCTCTCATTCTAGGAAGTTGGGGAACAGGCCCCCTGGGGTTCGATCGACCGAAAATTTCCGGACACGACCTTCCTATGAACATGAATTGGAAGACGAGGGCCCGTTGCACGGTCTGAAAGACCTCGTGATGTAACCTCCGCGGACTTCTTCCTGTGTTCTCTTCTGTTCGAGGTTTGAAGGAACACGCAGCGTCTGCGTGCCGAGGAAGTCTCTCTGGGCGTTTGGACAATGCTCGGGCAACAGACAGGCCTAGGTTGAAGTTTTATTAAGGCGAGGGAACTCTGAGATCCTTCTCTAGGTGGCCACAACCGCAGTTTTGTGCCTTAAATTGATTTTTGCAACAACAGTTTTAAAAGTGGTCGATTTGTCTCGTGGGCCTCAAGTCTGTTCACATTTAAACTCCCATTCGTCCGGAATATTGAATAATTGGTTTTGAGCGTTTTATGTGCATAACTTGTTTTAATGCTCGAAATGCATTTTGCATTTCTTGTTTATGAGCGATTCGAAAGAACAGGTCGAGACGCGACAGGACGCAGGACATCGATAAGGATGGGGCAGTTTGAAGGACGGTTTGCGGTGCGCGGTTGTAGACGAGGGTTCGGAACTGTTCCCTTCAGAGGTTCGGTTTACATGTTGATTGTCGATAACACATTCGCAGAAGGATTTGAGGTTTTCACGGCGGTGATTCTGAAGATGGCTGTCTTCTGGGTCGTTGCGCCGTGTAGTCGGGTAGAAGTTTACCAAACTACACGGCGCAACAAACCAGAAGACTGCCATCTACATTCAAAGAAACTCAGTGAAGACGCAGGCTTTGCTATGTGTGTCAGAAATTTAACATGTTCCGAATAACAGGGACGGAGAAGGAGAATGTGGATGCTGAACATTAAACAGCAGTCAGCAAAATGCAGATCGACGAAGGAAGGTTCTGATGCATAGAAACAGAAAGGCCGGCCCTGTGTTTGGGAGACCAGGTGCCAGATACACTGTTGCTACGACGTGGCGTATAGGGGCGTGGCGTCAAGCTCCACTCGTGAAAGATCTCGGTAGGCCTCCTAGTCATAGTTGAGCGGTCGGTCGCTGAGGTGAGGAGGCACCACTGTCGGTATTTGAACCCCGGTCGTCCAGCGCCAATTCACCCACTTCAGCGACTGAGCCTTGACGTCTTACAGGCATCATTCTTCGAGTATCTGTTCTTTGATATTGTGTCACGGTCTGAAATATCGGCTCGGTTCCTCACTTCAGCGAGACTTTCCTGATCAGCCAGCGATTGTTCCATTCAGGAAAACATGTCAGATTTCCCGGACGTCAGAATAACCTTTTTTCCCCGCTGCTAATTTCCGATTCGTGAAGGAAGGAATAAAAGAGAATTTGTGATGTTTCGATAAACGTGTTTGTTGGCTGCTTATCTTATTAGAACGCGAGGAAGATTT